TTCCAGTTGTCCCATAGCAGTAGTCAGAAGTCTTGCCTCATTGAAAAAAACACTTGGGGCAGTGTAAGTTTTTCGAAAAGCTTTACTCTGCTTAAGCCACTGATCTTGTAGGTGTGCATCATCTTGCCAAGGTGTTGTTGCTTACTAAGCACCCGAGTCTGAATGAGGTCCTGTTTATTTGGTATTTCTTTGAAGATTTTGTTCCAAAACTCATCTCAGCATTTTTGCCTTGGCATCAGAGAAACATTTCTTATGCTCTATCCCACCTCTAAAGCTGGCCCCTCTGCCATGAGCATGTCAGTCTGAGGACCTGGGGAAGTGTTATTGAGCTGGAGTAACCTGACACAAATCCTCATCTTAATATGCCTTTTGCAAATCAGACCCAGCCTGGTCCTGCCCAATTCTGAATTTTCTACTTTCTTATATCCTACCTTTTTATCTAGGAACAGGGAACTGATAGGTGAAGCCACTATTAACATCTTTTTTTCAGTTCTAGTTCTATTTGTACTGTAAAATTGACTGATTTTAATGAAGGCTAGGGTGAGGATTTGTTGGCTAGTTGTTAACTGAGGGAAAGGATTAATTGTATGTTTCAGCAATTCATATGTTGCTTTACCTTAAATTTGGAACTGTGGGATAGGTACTGCCCCCCCCTACTTGAAGGCTCTACTCTATCCTGGACCCCCAAATGACAGGTCTGGGGGGACAGTGAACAACTTGGGGCAGAGGTCAGCAACCTACAGCCCATGGTCGAGGCACAGCCCACAAAGAAATCATCTGGGTAGCCAAGCATGCCAAGAAATGGAAGTTGATATGTTAGTAAGTGTTGCACAAGAACACACTCCCACCATCTAGTGGCAGAATATCTAACACTCCAGTTTACTGAGCTGTCTTAATTCTGCCTGCTGGTAGTGCATGCTTACTGACTTCTGGAAACGTAGTGGTAAGTTTTGAATTTGAGTGACCTTGTACATATTGGACAGTTCAGAAAGAACAAAGCTAGGAACTCTTTAGATGTAAAAGTTGAGAGTCTGTTGTTTTTTTTCCCTAGAGCTGCTTTACAAACTCTCAACGGCCTGTGCTGGTTGCACCCCTAAAATCAAACACTGCACAGGGATCTACTGCTAAGTATTGGGAAGGTGAAATGACTATTTAGTTTGTTGCCTCTATTCTTAGGTATACAAGGGACCAGAGACTTCATTCCGTTTCACAAATCTTCAGACAAACTGTGAATATCGGTTCCGAGTCTGCGCTGGACGCCAGTACCAAGATTCTACTGGATTACAAGAACTGTGTGGACCTTACAGTCCCAGTACAGTATTCTCATCTCAAAAGCAAGACTTGGCTACACAGTGTACTGATTCTACGGCTGAATTGGCAAAGTCTAAGAAGGCAGCACGAAGTGATCAGTACTGGGCTTCTGTTTTTCTTTTCCTGTTTGCAGCAGTTGCTATTTTTTTTGCTCTTGTTATTCAGTACTTTGTAATCAAGTAGGAAGTTTAAAACCTGTTCAATACTCAGCTTTATGTATGCAAGTTATTCTGGGTATTTGTGGATGGTTAATTCTAATTAGAATCCTAGCTGGAAATGATTGTATAAGAGATGCATACATTTCCATCATTTACTGTTGACTCAGTGAGGCTGGGTTGGCAGAAACTTTCCAAATGCTGAATGCGAATCTGTCACCGAAAGGGGTAATCCTTCGTCCTCTGTAATCAGGGTTAGCTGTTGATAGAACAGCTAAAAACTGCCTTAACACATACACGTGTGCACGCACACACACACGCACACACACACCTGTGTGCGTACACTCCCTGTTGCAATTCAAACCCTATGTCATTTAGTCACTTAAAGAGAAGGCTTTATAGAAAACAAAGTCCTTTTCAGAGTTCAGCTAGACAAGTGGTAGTGGGTCAGCAACTCTTAATCAAGTATTGTTATAGTTTGGTATACATGAAATAAAGCAGCACAAATGCTTGAGCTTAGAACAGTACTGTATTGCAGAACATTACTAGAGCATACCACATTTAGTATACTGTAGAAAGAAAACAAAATATTGGCTTGACTTAGTGATATTACTACTTTGCAGTTATTTTAATGTTTGGGGTCCCATGGTTGATATTGTTTCAAGTGTTAAGGTAGAGGGTACCAGCATTTTTTAGAATTTTAATTAAAATGCTAGACAAAAATATTAGTGCTGCAACGTACATACAGTGGTGATGCATTTGTATGTGACATCGCAGATAGACCCCATTTTTGTACTGTACGTTTTTGAATGAAATGCTTTCTGCTGTTGGCAAGCAGCTGTTGGCCCAATCCACATTTCACTCTCAGTGCCTGAGAGAAGAATAATTTCCTGTGCTTCTGATGAAATCTTTGCAACATTTTCAGAAAAAGCACAGATATTGTCTTTAAGGAGAAAGTGCATTTATGATAAATGTTTCACTATTTGGCTCAAACTGAGCAAATATTTTTGTACAATTATTAACCTAAAAGTAAAATGTTCAAACTGTTTTTGGATGCCCTTCTAATGTAATATGGAGGATCAAAAATGGACATAACTCTTTTTTTAAGTAACATTCATACAGTGTTTTAAATGACTTGCTATCACAAAGCAATTCCATTTTTTTGTATTTGAGAATTTTCAGTTTGCTATGAACTTGTCCAAGATGCATCATGCTTGGAGGAACTTTTTAAAATTTTGTGGAGGCTATGCACTACATGTGACTGTTTCTTGTCACAACTTTTTTGCAGACATCTACAAATAAGTGAGAGAGCTATTTCCTTTCATCAGCTATTTTGCAAGCTGGAAGCCACAAAATTAGAACATTTGTTCAGTATGGGTCTTTCTAATTGCTTCGGAGTTGAGAGAACATGCCATATACAGTGTCACATACTCCGCAAGGACTACAGCTACACTTCAAATGCATCAGATCACTGCACTTGCCTGTAGGATGTTAGATGTGTAATAGTACCATTGGCTACAGGCTAATTATTTCAAAGACTAAAACATTTGAAGGGTGTTTTCTCCAGTGGCGGTTAATAATGTTAAGTTACGGTTGGAGGCATTGTGTTGCATTTCAAATGTGGAAAACCTAAATTATGATGTATCACTTAATATTCTTAAAAGTAGATTCATGGTGCAATCGGAAAGTAACCTTTCAAAAATATACTCTTCATTTTGTACTCTATTTATTTTGATTTTAAAAAGTCCTGGAAAATGTATTGAATGTATTGTTCTACTTGTAGGAGAACTTTAAGTTAATCATTTATTATATCATGGAAGTCTCTCTTCAGTGTTGAAAAGAGTTTTATACAGATACTAGTGTCTTTAGTTTGCAGAAGAGTTTACAACCTGTCTTTATTTTCTTTCACATTTTACTTTTAGAAAAACAATAGACTGCCTTCAGCAAATCTCTATTGCCAAAGGTTCTTTGTTCTCTTTAAATAAAAAAAAAAAAAAAAAAAAAAAATTATGTGATTAATTTGGCAATAGCATTTCTGGTATTGTTTAAAAATGATACATTAGACTTTCAGAATAAATACTAACTAGAATCATAACTTCCTCAAATTTGAAATAAAATGCTTCTGTATTTTGCCACAAAACATTCACATTTCCAGGAAATATACTGGAAAGCATAGTGTAATGTAGATTTTATATTTCCTATTATACATTCCAGATTGATGTACCCTAGAGGCATTAATGTATTAGGCATCTTTTCCTTTTTCTTGTAATGTAATTTTGAGGTATCTGAAACTTATGTTAAAGCTGCCATGCATTGTATTACTAAATTGTAACTATCAAATAGATAATATATTTAATACAGCCAATAAAAAAAAAAATACAAACTTATTCCGATTCTACTGTAGGGTCTCTGTATTTTCGTGGGGAGTTTTAAATTCAGAATCAAGAGTATAACTTTTGTTTAAAAATAGTGCTGTTAATTGTGTGTGTGGTTATGATGAACAATACGGCAACACAGAAAAAAATCCATTCAAGTTGGAGCTTGTGGCGTTCCCTAGATTTATATGGGAGAGCTATGGATTTATGGAAGAGAGTTCTCAAACAGCAGTTTTCCAGTTCCATGCAGAACTTGTGAGTCATCCAACTGGAGGATGCTGTTGGCCCTTCCCACCTTGGTCAGGAACAACATTTTGATATGTGGAATGACAACTGTCCCATCTTTCCCAGATAAATTATGCTGTATTTTATTGTAAATAGCATGACCTCTGTGTAAAATGGTACCAAAGCAGCTGAGCCAGTTTTCTTTAACATAAACTAGGGGGAATGAAGAGTCTCCAGCAGACTTGATCACCTGTAATGGAAATACAGTAACCTGGGCTATCCAAAAATTGTAGCTCTATTAAACCCCTTGAGTGAAAGATGGTCTTGGGGTTAAAACAATGGACTCAATTCTGAAGATCTGAGTTTGAGTTATTCACCCAATTTCAAACTGTGTGTGTGTGGAATTGGGCAAATAACACACTCCACAACTTTTTCCCTACATTTGTAACTGGCTTTTTCACTGTCCCTTGTCCCTGTTTAGGTCAGATTCTCAACCAGAGTGCTGTGGGGTGCTGTGTGATATTAGTACTGTTAGGTGTGCAAACACCGACATGCGATTCATAAATAAACTCAGAAATTTCAAACGAATCCATAGCGTCAAAACCATTCTGAGCTGTTGTGGTCTTTCTGAGTTCTTTGCAGCAGAAAAATTGCTCTATTATTTTTTCATAATCAAAAAACCAAGTGAAAGCAAAGTGTGACATTTCTAAAGGGTGCTTGAGTCTAACAAGGGCTTCTGTGAATCTGAAAAAGTTGAGACTCACTATTTTAGATAAATTCTTCAGGTGTTATAGAGGGCTTCAGTGTAGTGCAGCCTGGCCTTGTTTGGGGCAATGCTAAAACATTTCAGTTACATCCCCCTGCTTCAGATCTTAGAAGAACAGGCTAAATAATAAATTTGCCTTTCAGAGGCAGATGGAGCTTTCTCAGTCCAGACGAGTTGAATACTTTCTTATCCGTTTCCTTTTGAGGTGCAGCCCAGGTTGTTTTCTTCCAATTAATAAAAGAAACAAGTTGGATTCAGTTCTATTGCATCTTGATTAGCTTTCATCAAAGAGAAACTAACAAATTGAATTATGCTGCTGCATAGATTTTGTATCAAACTAGCAAAATCTGTGATCTTGGAGGTTCTTGAAACAAATCCACTAATGAGTTTTATGGATAGTTGGAACAATGTGTAGAGGCATTTGCTTGAAGCCTGGAACTTCGGAGAGAACAGGCTTCTGCAAGTGGTTATGGGAATAGTTTCACTTTTTACTTTATATATTGCAAGCAATGCTACTTGCCTCGCCCTGAAGCATAAGCAATGGCAATGTCAATAAAGCAAGTTTTGTATAAAGACATGAGCAGTGAACTTTTTTTCTCTCCACAACACCCCCACAACCTCCAGCTACAACATGCACTAGTACCTGGGATTCATGTTGACCTGTGATTCAGCCGTACATTAGACAACCAAAAACCTAGGTGTGTAGGATGCTGAAGTAGATGTGTGAACTGTTTACATAAAAGAACTGACCTCCGTACCTTCAAGAGAAGTCTTTTCACTCCTTGTCAAGCTTCTGGAATGCCAGACCTGGCCATAATTCAGGATTTTGCTCACTGCTTGTCTGTATTTTTGTGACATGACGTTGTAAAGTATTGGGTTTATAGATGCTCCAAGGTAAAAGAGAATCATGGAGATGAGGTTGAAATACTGAGTGACATCGTACAGGATGATTTCAGTCTGGGCGAAGAGGACTCGACCAACATGAAATGGCAGCCAACACAACACAAAGGCCAGAACTACTACTGCTAAAAAAAGGTAAGGAATATATTTTAGTATAGTGACATAACTTAAAGGTGAAGAATATCTTATAACAGATTTGTAATCACTACATTTAACAGGATGTGTACAAAAGGCAGTTGATCACTTTGACTTGTGTGGACATTTTTGTTTCATTTACTGGTACACAAACAAGCAGCGGAGGCTTAAGGTTGCCCACTTCATTATTCTGTCCAGAATTAAAGCAGAAAACTGAATATACCGGTGTGTAGCACAAAGGCACAAAAAGAATATAAGCCGGCAAGGTTACAGGAGCAGCAGAAGGTATTGTGCTTACCTTTAGAAGATATTTTTTTTTGCTCCCATCTGACAACCTGCTTTGCTCATCAGTGAAATACTGCATGTGAGCAGAAGTCAGAGCCAGAGACTGGGGAGAGACAGATAAAAGAGAGGGCCAGGCACAAATACAGGATGGGAAAGATGGAATAGTTTAAAGATATTTGGGAAGGGAGTGGAACAAATGGGGCAGAGATAGGAGAAGCTGTGGAAGGCAGAAATCTGAAGGAAGGCGCAAGATGCCTCAGCAGACAAATAGAAAGGTTTGGAAGGCACAACAGTTAGCAAACTGGCTTGAAGAAAAGCGCAATGGAGAGAGAATGCATGGCTCTAAAATTAGTCTATTTTACTTTGCATATCCATATTCCCACATGTCCCTTTAAAAAAAAAAAAAAAAAAAAAAGGACGCCCCCCCCCAGT